CAGAAACAGTATCACACACCTGTAATGTCAACACTCAGGAGACTGAGGCAGGAGGATTACTAAGAGTTTGAGGCTAGTGTGGGCTACATAGTCTGGGGAGATGACTTCTCAGTTAAAAAGGTTTCCTGCTCTTCCAGAGGACCCGAGTTCCATGACCAGACTTACATTGGGTAGAAGGGCAAATCATGAGGCTGCCTATAACTCCAGTTACAGGGGATACGATGCCACTGTTCCACTGTTGCTATCTTCTGTTCTCTGCAGGTACACACACACATACACACACATGCACACACACGCATGCACACACACACACACAACAGTGTGGACTACTAAGCCCAGCTATGATCCATATCTTTCAAATAAGGAAACAAACTCAAGAGAGGTGAAATACCCTGCCGGTAGCTAGACTTGGTGGTACATATTGGTAATTCCAGGACTCAGAAAGCTCAGGCAGCAAGATTGCCTTGAGTTTGAGGCCAAACAAAATAAATGACAATACCCTCAAACAACAATAACAAAATCACAGCCGGGCAGGAGTGGCACATGCTTTTAATTCCAGCACTTGGGAGTCAGAGGCAGGTGAATCTCAGTGAGTTCAAGACCAGCCTGGTCTACAGAGCAAGTTCCAGGAAGGCTCCAAAGCCACAAAAGTTTCCAAAGTCTCCAAAAACAAAAATAAGCAAATAAACAAAAAGCCCAAAAGCAAAACAAAAAACCCAAATCACACATTGAGAAAGTTGTCAAAGAATGATTTAAAGTCAGGTTGTCTGGCTCCAAAGTCTTTGTTTGCTTGTTTGTTTGTTTTTTGTTGTTGTTTTGCCTTTTTTTTTTTTTTTCCCAAGACAGGGTTTCTCTGTACAGAGCCCTGGGTCTACTGAAACTCTCTCTGTAGACCAGGCTGGCTTTGAACTCACAAAGATCCTCCCGCCTCTGCCTCTTGAGAGTTTTGAAATTTAAAAGTGCACACCACCACTGCCCTAGTTCCGAAGTCTTAAGATCAGTCTGCAACACGACCATGGTGTAGATGTCTGTATCAGTTCTAGCCCCCTCCATTGACGGGATCTGCTGCTTCAGACTTACCCCCCTGGATGCCGGGCCCACCAAGCACCGTTTATACTGTTTCTGTTAGGTGCCAAATAAACTTTTCCTCATTGAATCATCACCCTTGGGCTGGAGAGATGGCTCAGAGGATAAGAGCATTGCCTGCTGTTCCAAAGGTCCTGAGTTCAATTCCCAGCAACCACATGGTGGCTCACAACCATCTGTAATGGGGTCTGGTGCCCTGTTCTGGCCTGCAGGCATACACACAGACAGAATATTGAATCATCACCCTTGGTGGGCTGTAGTGGTACACGCCTAGGTGGTACACACCGTGCAATATGGTAAAATTGAGGTTCAAACCCAAGAGAGTCTACATTGAGACTGTTCAATCCAAACAGTGCAGTGATCCTTAGAGAACAGTTCCACTTTCAAAGCCAGATTCCCTCCCCTGTAATAAATATCCTTATTCATTTTGCAATAACAGGATCTGAAGGTCCTGTATGTTCTTCCCTGCCTCCAACCTCATTGGCTTTGCTCCTTCTGCGCCCATCTTTTGACTTGTACCACTTTTTCCAACTCCAAGCTCATTTTTGGACAGACATTCTCCCCTCTAGTTTTCATCAACTCACCCCGGATACCAGCTGTTCAGGATGCGACGTCCTCTGACCCACTGTCCCGACATTCATTCTCGTAAACACATTGCTCCTTGCCTTTTTGCTTGTCTATTTAACTTTAACTCTAAGCTCTGTGAGGATCCCGGCTCCTTTGCTCGCCACTGCAGCTGTCCGTTCCCAGGGTGCTCTACATATTGTAGGTGCTTAGCATTTTTTTCCAAAAATATTTATCTATTGAGTGCGTGTGTGAACACGTAAAAGAGCATGGACATACCAAGGCCCATGTGTGAAAGTCAAAGGACTGTGGTTCTCTTCTTCCACCAAGTGGGTTCTGGGGATTGAACTGAGGTCACCAGGCTTGGTGGCAAGCATTTTTACCCGTCGAATCATTTCAGTAGTTTCTATACTAGTGAATAACTTGCTGCTGGGAGCTTTGTGAGTTCATTATTTCCATCACTAACTCTGAACTCTCACAAATGCTCCATTGTCTACATCAAAACATCTTTTCTGTCTTTTTTTTTTTAAACATTTACTTATTTATTATGCATTCAATATTCTGTCGGCCAGAAGAGGGCACCAGACCCCATTACTGATGGTTGTGAGCCACCATGTGGTTGCTGGGAATTGAACTCAGGACCTTTGGAAGAGCAGGCAATGCTCTTTAACCTCTGAGCCATCTCTCCAGCCCCCTCTTTTTTTGTCTTTTATGTGTGTGTTTTATTCAGCGTATACTTGTGCGCCATGTATATGCAGTGCCATTGGCGTTCAGAAGAGGGCGTCAGATTCCTTGCAACTGGAGTTATGGGTAGTTGTGAGCCACTTTGTGGGTGCTGGAACTGAATCTGGATCCTCTATAGGAACAGCAAGTGCTCTTAACGACTGAGTCACCTCTCTAGCCCCTGCCTGTTGTCCATGGTTCTGGTCCGTGAGGCACAGGCAGCCTAAACATGGCGGAGTAGAGAACTGGTTGGTGAGGTACAGGCAGCCTGGACGTGGCAGAGTACGCATCAGTCTTCGGTCAGTCTCAGCCCAAAGCCTTCCTTCACTTTCTGGTCACAGCGGGATTTAAACAGTCACACGTCAGACTGAGTGACCCAGTCCAAGCCTGGGAGTACCAGTGATCACTGGGGCCCTGTTGGCACTGCTTACTTGGCAGTGTTGGCCTTTCTGAAGTCTTAAGCTTTGGGGAGGGAAAAGGACTACCCAAAGTAGTCCTTGACAGCCAGTCCTCTGCTCGCAAGAGTGGACAGACCTGACCTGGAAACACCAGGTGTGGTGGCAAGTGCCTTCAATTCCAGCACTGGGGAAGTATGGGCAGGGGGATATTTCTGTAAATTTAGACCAGCTTGGCTCACACAGTGTTCCAGGATAGCCAACAGCTACATATAGAGAGACCTTCTCTAGAAACAAACAAACACGGACAGCCCCCAATTGTAATCTCATTTGGCTTCTGTTTAAGTTGTTCACCCACTTGTCATCTCTTCTCTCTGGACCCCTAGAATGCTAGGAAAATATTGGCCACATCCCTGGGGTCACTTTTCCACAAGTATATTGTTCTAGCAGCTGGATAGAAGGGGGCCCAAGTTTACGGTGTGGAAAGAGCATTGACCTGACACCCTTAGGACTATTCTGGCCTGCTAAGGGGTGGGGGAGGAAAGCCGTCAGGTGACAAGCTGTCTAAGAGTAGGAAAACAGGGATAGATGCTAAGTGATATAGGTTCAGTCCTGGGGTCATTTCTAATTACCTAGTGACTATGGGCAAGAGTTATTTCATGAATTCAGGGTGTTGTACATGTTGTGTGTCAGGGTGTATACATGCAGGCCGGCCGGAGAATCACCTCAGGGGCTGTTCTGGCAACTTGCTTCTTCTTTTTTTTTTTTTTTTTTTTTTTTTTTTTTTTTGTGTTCTTCTTTGGTTTTTGTTTTGTTTTGGTTTTTTTTTTGTTTTT